TCCAGAAGTTGCTGGTCATTTAGTTTTTAAAAACTATCAAAAAATAATTGTATGTGGGTCTGTGTTTTGCATCCGTGTCAGAATAGATCTGTATAGAAAGTAAATAAATACCTGATCTGATACCTGTATGGCCATACTTATTCACCCAGTACTTCCTGAAACTCCTAGCCTGTCAGGTAGTGAAAACGTAAACCATGTACTTAGATGTAACTGGACAGAAAGGAAGTAGTGCCCCATGAAACAAAATGGATGCTACTCCTTTTGATAAAAACATGGTGTTGAAATCACTCATGTGAAGATTTATGTGACTATAGTAGCTTAAAAATAGGAATGGATAAATGTGTTTAATAAAGACTAGAAGATGAGTAAATAAAAATATATAAACTCAACCCACTCTTCTGATGCCATAGTCCCTCAAGTGTACCTGCTTCTTGTCAATAGTCCTCAACAGAGGTAACAACTTGCTTAGAAGGAGGTTCATTTAAGCAAATACAACCTTTCATCAGGGAATTTTCTCATCTAATGTAGGAGGACCATTTACTATCAAAGACCCAAAACTCTAAGCTTTCCCACAAATGTAGAAACATCTGTTTCATGGTAACATGTGAATTTTCTGACTTACAGTGTAATTCTCAACAGTGACATCTTCAGTAGAATTATATTTTCTCTTACATTTTATTTGCTGTGATTCTCATATCAGACAAAAATAAATATTTTAAGGGCTATCGTTCCATAGTGCACAGAAATACTCAAACTTCGTTACTCTCTTTTAGAGAAAAATGTAAATGTATAAGAGATTAAGTTGCTAACCAAATCACTCTGAATTGTTTCTTTTAGGTGACTGTCTAACTTTTACAGAGCATATTCATACTTTTAAAAGGGTAATTTTCAAAATGAGGTTAAAAGTGTGTGACTAAAGTAATGAGGATGGGGATCTGCTCAGGAAGTGAAACAGACTTTATTTGCAACTGGAAGGTCTTCAGATGAAAGACCAGTGATTCCCTTTAACCCAGCCTTTGTAGTTTGAAATCTAGTAAGAGTAAACACAACCCTTCAGTGCCTGCAGATGTGAAAAGAGAACATACAATGTTTTCTTATTTAAGAACATGTTTTATGTTTACTTAAAAGAGAAAATCATTTTACAAAAAGCTATTGTACATAAAGAAAAAAATAAAAAAATTTCAAGTTCAATTTTTCTAAATAATTCATTTTGACAACAAATGAAGTATTTTAATATTGGCGCAATTTCCTTGGGGAAAAGTGGCCACTTAAAATCATCAGCCATGTCACATATCCCAAAGCAAATATAATACCAAAAAAAAAAAAAAGAAAAGACACTTCTATTAAATTTCACAATCTTAAAATAGGAGAGAAGACAAACTGGAAAAAATATTGTATGTTATTACATTATGCTGGAAAGCACTTAAATTGTACAATAGCATCAGATTAGGAATTTCAATTTTGTTATCTTTTGTCTGTTTCTTATGAAAAATAATCATGATCTTCTTTACAAAAGACCATCATATTTTTAAAATTTTTTTGATCAAAATGTACTTTCAACAATCTTGAGGATGCAGGAGGGAATATAAAGATAATTAAGATATTTTGTATTAAATAAACAAAAACTCAATAAAAAATACACATTTAAAAATATCATTACTCTTTTGAATGAAATGAACGTTTAATACCTTAAAATTGATACAAGAATAGCACATGAAAGCAAGATAGATGGGGTGATTTGTTGTATCCACAATCTTTAGGATTTAATCTTTTTTTAGCATTGTATAGCATAAGCCAGTAACATCTCCAGAGAAATCCAACAGCCTTCATATTTAAAGCTTCCTACAAAGCAGAAAACAGAAACTTCCATTTCCTCTACTTTTAGATAAAAGAGAAACAAAAACCAGTCAAATTATAAAGTGGAAACATTGAAGCCATTTTCATAATATTAAATTATAAAGTAGTGAATTCAAATTAAAATGTAGAAACATAACTTCACTTTTTCATTTAATCAAATTGCTTAAGTGGATACTTAAATTTAGTACACTTAAATTCTAGGTACTAATTGGTTTTCTTCACTTTTTACTTAGGTGGCTGCATGAAATTATGTAATC